CGTCCCACTAAGATTGTCCCATACCAAATTTGGCAAAGTTTGTGTGGCTCTAAATCATTCTTACTTTATCAATTCAATATTAACCACATAAACCACTTTTTATTAGTCTTCGTGCCACTCCCTCTTGTCCCATTGTTAGCGGGACGGAGGGAGTATCATATAAATATGAAATGAAGCACCGAGAGATATATTTTGGATACTATTCTTAATTGGATCAACTCAATTAAATTGGACTTCGATTTGGTATTAAGTGGTGGAGTGGTGTCTGAGAGGGTTAAGGGGCTGGATTATAGGATCCAAACAAGATGGATACGTGGTAGGCTGAAAGCACAGTGGTATTTCAGGGATGTTGCGGAAATTTATACATACTATTAAAATTGAATCCAAAAACAAAAACATGAAAACAGTATTTTTTTTTGTTTTAGTTTTCCATAATTATTTCCAAACATGACAGTTTTTCATAAGAAATGAATATGTTATAATAGATGCCACTTCTGTCCCAAAAAGAAGCATGTTTCTAATACTGAAAGCAGTATTGCAATGTGTCTCTTTTATCAACATGTTTTATGCTGCTCATGATTTGGAAGATCATAAAATTGAAGCAAAATGCTTCCGAATCATGAACTGTGTGTCTGCGTGTAGGTATTGATTTTCAAGCTGTGTTTATTGCCACTTCAATGTCACATGTCTTTCATGGGTGCCATTTGGTAAAATGTTGATGACTTGATGCTTGTTTTTAATATAACCATTGCTCAGATCTTGGTTGTCTTTGATTTCTGTTTTATGGATTAAGAGGAGTAGGACCTTGAATTTTGTCTGTAATTTGAATCTAGTAATGTCCTATTGGGTGCATTTCTGTATATAATATCTGCTTTTTTGTTTGATTTTGGCTTTCTGTTTCTCTTAACAGATTGTGGGTTTTCATCCACCACATTTTGTGTGTGTATGATATCACCTCACTTTACAATTTTTTCCTGTCTTGATGGTTGTAATTGTTTGCTTTGTATTCACTCTTCAGATGAAGTATCTAGACTGGTTCATTAAAGAAAAGCTCCAAAGCATACATGATGCAAACACTGCAGGGGCTGGTAACTATGCAAGTTCTTCAGTTGCGGATGACAATCGAAGGTAAAATGATATTCTGGATGTTATGGAGGGTGGGGTGGGGGGTCTGTAAGGCTATGTTTCTTAAGATGAAATGGAATCAATTTGTATTTGAAATGTCTACTATGAATTGCATTGCCTTGTGGCTTGCAATATGTTGAGTAGAGTTTTTAATTTTTGCTTTTTCATTCTTTCCATAAAATGTACGAGTATCGTATATTTGCAACTGAATGTTGTTAGTAATTTAACCGAGTGGAATCTCAGGTCTGAACAACTGGCCAAATATTTTGAATCTCTGGAACTGGAAAAGGGAGACTCTGTGGAACATAAGCAGAAACTGATGGAAGCTTATGAGGAATTGAAATGTAGACGCCAGGCGGAAGAGGATGAAATGAAGCGGCGCCATCAAGCAGAAGTGGATGAGATGAGGCGCAGGCACCAGGAAGAGGAGGCCGCCGCAAAGGAAGGGTTGAATGCTGTATTGGCCAAGTTGATGGAGAAGTAATGTGGTAATGCCACCTCTGCCATTCTGACCTGCTGGAGCAGAGGAAAGATATGGTTTCCTGCCATTTGACATATTATTGGATAAACCAGACATCTTTAAAATTTGAACTGCTGATTATCACTATTATTAGTACTAATAGTATTACACTCTAACTATTCTTCTACTCCCATATTTTCTGGGATTTGAAGATTGTGGAATTGGTGCAAACTGCTATCAACTTGTGCTGTTCTACATGCATCATCATCATCATCATCATCATTATTCAAAGCCAAATAGGATTCCGACATTGGAATTTGAGCAGATGAATACCAACCTCTTTTTTTGCTCTCAATTCACAAAACATGCACTCACTTGGATGCTGATGGGGTTGCAACATCCTTTCCTAGTCAAGTGTAGTTATTTCACATTAGAGATGACAATTGTGAGTTGTAGGCATGGACCGGTTCCGGTCAGCCCGGCCCAGGAACCGGCCTGACCCGCCATTGTGTGGGCCCAGACCGGCCCGGTAAATTGGCCTGGGAACCGGGCCTAGGACCGTCCCGGTGTGTTAGAGCGGTTTGGTTTCGGGCCTACCCTTTGGAACCGCCCGGCCGGGCCCGGTTCGGGCCTATTTATTTATTTTTTTGTTTTTTTTTTCAATTTTTTTTGTTTTTCCCGGGTTGGGCTAGGTGTTTTGGGGGGGGTTTGGGGGGTGGGGGGGGGGGGGTCGGGGGTTAATAAGGAAAGCAAAAAAAAAATGAACCGACTTGAGATCGGCCCGGACCTGGTTGCAAATAGGGCCGCTTCCGGGGGCCGCGGCCCGCCCAGGCGTGGACCCGGTTCGGGCCGCCCGGCCCGGGACCGGCCCGGCCCGTCACTGTGCGGGCCCGGAACCGGCCCGGTTCTCGGGTCCGGGTCCGGTTCGGGCAGAGACCCGGTCGGGTTAGCGGGACCGGGCTCGGGTCCTGGTTTTGGAGGCCCGGCCCGGCCGGGTCGGGCCCGGGCCCGGGCCTAACGGTCCACTTTTAAAAAAAAAAATTTTTTTTTTTTTTGGATTGTTTTGGCTCAAACGGCTACCCCAAACGGCTATATAGCCGTTGGGTGTACCAGGGGGGGGTCAGGGGGGTTTGGGTGGGGGGTGGGGTGGGGGTTGGGGTGGGGGGTGGGGGTTAAAAAAAAAAACCTATAAATACTCCTAATTTTAAACATTTTTTCACACCTCTTCTCCAACTCTTCTAAATCCTACTCTCTACTCATCTCCATTCTCCAATTCTCCATATTCATCTTCTCTAATTCTCTTATTCTCCTTTATATTTTATTTTACTATTTAATACTTATACAATTATTATATCTACTTATATATTAATTATCTACTTATATATATTATTATCTACATATACTATATTGCTTATATTTCTTATCTACTTAATTTCTACTTATATCTCTTAATACATACATACATACTATATCTACTTAATATATACTTTATATAATAAAGTATTAAATATACTTTATAAACTATTATTATATACTTAATACATAATAATATCTACTTCTCTACTTATATTTTATATATACTTATTTTCCAATCTCCAATTCTCCATTATACTCTAATATTTAATTCTTATACAATTATTATATCCACTTAATACATACATTCTACATCTACTTAATATATATTTATATATTAAAGTATAAAATATAAGTGTATTACTCATCGTATAGTATAGTATACTTATATATTATATATTATAAACATTATATTATATATTACTTACTATAACTAGTATTATACTAGTTAATTAGTTAATTAGCATTCTTGTTACATTTTTCATTATACTAGTTAATTAGTTCATTACCATTATTGTAACATTTTTCATTATACTAGTTAATTACTTAATTAGCATTCTTGTTACATTTTTCATTATACTAATTAAAATACTTCACATTTTATTTAACTAGTTGTTAGTTTGTTACATTTGTCACTATATTAGTTAACTACTTAATTAGCATTGTTGTTACATTTTTACTTGTACTAGTTATTTACTTCAAAAGTTGCTATAATTTTAATTGTAGAGACACACATTAATTCTACTTTGCAAAAAATTAGTTTGAAGTATTAATTAAAATAGTTTTAATTAGTTGCATTAGTTTTGTATCCATTATTATATTTGTTGTGAATTAATATTTGTTACATTTTTTAGATGGAAGGTGGTAGATATTCGGTTGATTTGGGTAACCTCCAACGCAATCGAAGAAACGAGATTGGGAGGAAGAAATCCCGCAAAGGTAAAGAACTTGCCGGGTCTTCATCTCAAAGTCGAGATGATTTTGAAACGGGTTACCAAAGGCGAGATGGAGATGCGATGTCCGAAGAACAACTCCAACAAGAATTGGCCCGACATAATAACCGCTTTCTACAACAACAACAAATGCCGACGACCATTGACGAAGAGGAGCTTGAGGATGAAGATGCGGAGGAATTGGAACCGGAGACGGCCGAGGAGGAGGGTGCCGGCAGCCACGACGCCGACGCGCCTGCCTCATCCCAAACCGCCACCGGTAATAAAAAAAGTAAGTCTGAACTAATGAAAAATAATTTTGATAAATGGAAGGACCCACAAACCGGCTATTGGCACGCAACTTGCAAGTGGTGCAACAACAATTATAGTTTGGGAACCTCCGGCGGATACGGATCCGCCGCAAGGCATCTTAAGGCAAAGCACCCCGTGGAGTATGCAAAATTAGGCGGCGGAACGGGGAAGCAAACTCAAATATCGAGGTTTGCGAATTCTCAACCTTTTGGTAATTTCGCCTACAATGATGCACAAAATTTGACTGGTATGGCTAACTTAATTTGTGAAGAAAATTTGCCTTATTTGTTTTCTGAAAGTCTTGCTTTAAAAGATTATGCACAAGGTAGTTTAAATCCTCAATTTAGAAATTATAGTCGCAAAACTGTTAAGAAAGAAATAATAAGGCTTTATAATGCGGAAAAGGAAAGGTTACAAAATTTTTTTGCAAACTTTGATGGGCGTGTTACTATTTGTTCTGACATATGGGAGGATGATTTTCATCATTTATATTATTTGGGTCTGACTGCACATTATATTGATGAGGATTGGAATATGCATAAACGTGTTCTTGCTTTTCGTGAATTTAATGATCGTCACACCGCTGAACATATTTATATTTTGATTGAGCGTATTTTAATTGAGTATAATTTGATTGATAAGGTGTTTGCTATTGGTTTCGATAATGCTACTAATAATACTGCTGCTATACCTAGATTGCGTGAGTTGTGTGGTGCCAATTCTTTGATGGGTAGATTTTTTCATCAACGGTGTGCATGTCATGTTATAAATTTATGTGTGCAAGACGGTTTAAAAGCGTTAGGAGATTCCATGGAGGTAATAAAGGGGGGGGTTAGACGTATTTGGGGTAATGGTCAACTTAGATTAAAATGGCAAAGTTATTTGACTGAAAGAGGTGTGAGATATGTTGCTTTTCCTAAATATTTAAACTTAGATTATAAACTTATGCCTTATTTAATGAGTTTCGTGCACAATATAGCAACGCTCCCCCTCCCCCGTCACGAACATCTTCATCTAAAGGAAAATCGATTTTTAAATCTGCATTTGGCAATCTTATGAAAAAAAGTAAAACAACTCACGTCACTGAACAAAGCGCATTGAATGAGATTACTTTGTATTTAACATATGAAGTTGATTTTGAAGAAAATGATGACTTTGACGTTCTAGACTGGTGGAAGTCAAAAGAAAGAACGTTCCCGATTTTAGCACGGATGGCTAAGCAAGTACTATCAATGCCGGTTTCAACAGTTGCGGTGGAACAAGAATTTAGTTCGGCCGGCAACGTCCTAACGGCATCTAGATCGAGATTGAGCGCGGAGTCTCTTGAGACGCTTATATGCTACCACGATTGGTTGAAGGCCGCACGTAGAACTCAAGAATTGAGCATCACCCCCTCCCAAGATTTTATGGATGACTCAACAACCGATGGTGGCTCTACCTATGCCGGAGATTCCGATTGATTAGTATTTTAGAATTTAGTACAAAATGTATTTTATAGCACTTGTCAAATTTATTTATACTTGTACTTCATATTTCAAAATTGTAAACTTGTACTTCATATTTCAAAATTGTAAATTTGTAGTTGTAGTTCAAATTAATTTGTAAACTTGTACTTCATATTTCAAATAAATATGTGTTCACTTTTTCATATGTAGCACTTCTCAAATTAATTAATTGGTTACAATCTAACGACTTAAAATTATTTTTCTAAAATATAAAGCCGGTTTTTAAATTAAAAATACATTTAGAATATGTAATTTGTTTAAATACTTATACACCTATTTTGTAACATTTGTTTTAGTTTTACTTAATTCATTAAATTAATTAATTTATTTTACAATATGTGTATAACTTAAAAAAAAAAAAAAAAAAAAAAAATTCAAAGCTCCCAAACGGCTATATAGCCGTTGGGGCTATGGGTGGGGGGCAGGGGGGTCCCGGGGGTGGTGGTGTGGGGAGTGGGGTTCAAAAACACCTATAAATACATCTATTTTCTAACATTTTTCTACACCTTCTCTCCAATTCTTCTCAAACTCTTCTCCATCTTTATCTTCTCTTATTATCCTACATTCCTACTTAATTACTTATAGTGTTATACATATACCATTTTAAATATGGAAAGTACATCTTCTCTTATGCAAAACAATTTTGACAAGTGGAAGGACCCGAAGACCGGACTGTGGTGGGCAACTTGCAGGTGGTGCAAGAAAGAGTGTTGCTTGGGGGGTTCATACGGATACGGGATGCCAATAAAACATATGAAGTCTTGTGACAAAGGGAAAACAACCAACGGTGGCGGAAATCCCAATTGATATTCATTACAAAATGTATTTCGTATTGTTATTTTTTTCTCAATTCTCAAATGTAGTTCTTATTTCAAATAAATGCACTTGAACTTTGTTTTTAATAGCAATTTGTATAATATATAATTAATATAAAAAAAAAAAAAATTTATTGACCCGGCCCGGCCCGGCCCGGCGGGTGGCCCGACCCGTGACCCGGGCGGGTGACCCGGCCCGAACCGGAACCGGTCATTGACCGGGCCGGTCCCGGGCCTACCCTTATAGGACCCGAGGCCCGACCGGGCCTTGACCCGGCCCGGGCCCGACCCGGCCCGGGTCCATGCCTGGGCCCGCCCCAAAAAAATAAAAGCCCGGTTTGGATTGGCCCGGAGCACGGCCCGGAATCGGTCCATGCCTAGTGAGTTGTGACCGATCCGACTGATCCGATGAATACCCCCCCCCCCCCCCCCGGTCAAAACAGGGAAAACCGCATTGACCGGGTAATGGGTACGGGGCAGGGAATGCCCATTTTGTTTTTACGGGTAACGGGGCGGTTATGGTCTTATATATGCATGTTCCATTATCCGCCTCGTTTATTTTTGGTTATATTTTTATAACATTCTTATCTATTATATGTCCAACAAGTCAACAACTAATAAAAGATGAGATTTTTCTGTTTTGATTGTGTATTAGTGTATATATGGATAATAAATGTACTAACTATAGTGTATGGATTAAAGTTCATAATAGATATTAATAATCTTGTTTGATTATTGTCAGATCTTTTATTTTTCAAATTAAGTAATTTTAGGTTCAAATTAATTTAGGTTGTCTTCTTTCTCGTCTTATAGATATACAAAACTATAAAGTGGCATCTAAGTCTATTTTTGAAATGGAGGCCTGGAACTGGACCGGCTATGTTTCGGGCCTGGGTCGGGTAATGTATTTTTTTTTTTTTGGTTTTTCTTATTTATTCTTACCCCCCACCCCCTCAAACACCCCCAAACCACTCAGCCCAACCCATCTCTTACCCAAACCAATCCAAAAAAACCAAAAAATTAAATAAATTGGGTCCGGATTGGGTCCGGATTGGTACCAAGTGGGCTGCAGCCTGAGCCCGCCCGACCCCCCCCCCCCCCCCCCCCCCGGTCCGGGTCAAAGGTCCCGGTCAGACCGGTCCCGGGCCACCCCTACCTCTGCATCTAACATTTTTTATTTGTCAACTATGCGGTTGATTACTTATTCTTTCTTTTTGAAGTAAAACTTAGTACACACGATTTCTGTTTCTTAATTCAATTCCCTCTTTGTTATTGTATCTGTTAAATATGAAAACATAAAACTGAATATTCATAGATACAATTATATGCTCTGATGCCACTAGATTGCTAATCTGTCAGAGAAATAATGGCCAAGAAAACGAGGAAGTCAATTGAGCCCAAACTCATGCAAGTTGGTACATAACCATGTGCGGGCTGGTCTAGCCCAAAAATACACAGTAAACCAGGCCAAGATTGAGTAACCCAACGGAAAGACTTAGAAGTTGGAACTCCTGGCAACTGTCTTACTACCTCCGTAACATTGGGATGTTCCCATTTGAAAAGTAGGTAGATTAAGAATAGTGAAAGGAGATATGTATTATTAGGGGTATGATGGGAAGATAGTGAAATAATATGATGAAATAAAGGATAAATCCAAAAAAAGTAGGTGTAATAGTGTATTATTTTTAAAATTATTGAGGGTATGATGGGAAGATTTAGAAATGAGAAGATATTAGTATTACGTCCAAAAAGGAAAGTGGGAAGATATTTAAGTTACGGAGGTAGTAAGAAAGTATCAAAGTGGATCTGTGGATGGAAACTCTATTGTTGCCTAGTTGGACAATCAAAACTTATACGTGACCGTTTGAAGTCTGTGAGAAGTTAATGTACTATTTACTCTGCCCGGAAACAAGTTCAGTTGTTCAAGTATCAAACACAAATTTTTGTCTTCATGTGTATTTCACTAGCGTGTTTATTACACAAGTTTTATAAAGGGTTAAAGGATTCCCATGATTTCCTTTTTGTTTTGTAGGCAAGTGGAGAATAGCATTAATTACCATTAATCTAAGGTGACAACTAGGCAACAATAGAGTTTCCATCCACAATGAGGGCTAAAAGTTGGAACAATTGATGTGAATTTTTCTATATATATTTTTTTAAATCGCACCATAAGTAAAATGTTATAACAATTACAAAAAAAATGAATTGCTAATTTGCTATACCACATGAGATCACCCATTAGCAAAATTGCATCCCACATTTTAGGGTAGAAAAAGAGGTGCACTAAATGAATGCTGAGGGCCGTACTGGTCCCGGATTTCAAAAGGTGGTCGATGTATGAGAGGTAAAGGTATATAAATACGGGTGTCCAGCAGATGTAAAAATTGCAATTGTTGTACAATAATAAGAAACAATTATTACTAGATCTTCTGCTATAGATCTTGATATTACTAGGGTTAAATGGTTGAAGGACTCCATACTTAAGATCTTTTCAGGTAATAAATTTTGTACTAGGTTGGAGGTGCATAATTCCCTTACTATTTTGAATGATGCTATTTTTTTGGAGGATTTGTGAGAATCATTGAGAGACCTATTTTGAGGAGTGAGACGGAGGCCGCGGGAATTGAAAATGGGTGATCGAAGGTCCGAAGTCCACGACCCAAACAAAGCAATTACGGTGTGGCTCAATACATTTGAGACGGTCGAGGAAGCTGCCATAACTTACGATAAAGCTGCCATTAGATACAAAGGAAACAAAACAAACTCAATTTTCAACAACTCTGTATCCAGAGATGATCCAGAGATGTGGAAAATTGAGTTTGACTTTGTTTCATTTGTATTCAATGGCAGCTTTATCATAACCGATGGCAGCTTCCTCGGTCGTCTCAAATGTTTCAAGCCACACCGTAATTGCGTAAAGGGGCATTCACAGGAATACAGGGTGATAGGAACAACAATCGAATGTCATTTAAAAGGTGAACACTACTTTGGCTTTGTGGTTTGAGCCGATCATTCATTTATATTTTATAGATAGTGACAGAGCAAGAAATTTGATATAGCTTATGGAAAAAATTAATGGGGGTCAAAGCTTAATATGTTAACATATACTATATAATTGTTTAGCTTATGTGTATATATTTGTACACAGTGTTGAAGACTGAGTTTTTTATTATTTAACATAAAAATGGGACATATGTATTTTATTTCTAAACCATCGATTTTTAGAGAAATTAATTGTTTCTTCTACTAAAATATATATTGTGTAGATTCCAATGGGAGTTGTTGCGGAGCAATAATGCCGAACTCCACACAAGAAATGAATGATACTAATGGAAATGGACGGTTATGAGGAGTGAGACGAAGGCCGCGGGAAAATGGGTGACTCAAGTCCATGACCCAAACAAAGCAATTACGGTGTGGCTCGACACATTTGAGATGGCTGAGAAAGCTGCCATAGATTACGATAAAGTTGCCATTGGATACAAAAGAAACAAAACAAACTCAATTTTCAACATCTATGGATGTTTTTACTTGGACTGAAATTTTATGATCTGGTCTGGTATGAATTGATCTGATCTAATTTGATCTGGGCTGGAACTAAAAATAGTCTAAATAAAAACATCCCAACACCAATCAACACCAATCAACACCAATCAAACCAATAGACTAACAGAGTATAACCAACCTCCACAACTCCCGTGATGTGCCGCCCTAATCGAGTAAAAGTTATCAAGTCTTATGGTTCTCGGCTTTTCACTAAAAACTTTCTCTTTGTTTGGTTTTTAGCTGATTTCAGTAGGAAGACCTATAATTTTGCGTGTTTGCATCTGATCAATAAATTCAATCACACTCCCTAAATTCCAATCACCTGACAAGGATAGTGAAGATGGTCCATTTTTAATATGGGACACATCATTAAAGTTACATTTATACGGTTGAGATCGAATGATCATAAAAAATTAAAAAGGGATTCAGTAAAGTCATATAATAAAAATTTCAAAATTTGAACTCGTCAAAATCAAAATTTGAAAGTTCACCTTCTCTGGAGAGCTCATACACCTCCCCCAGTCAATAACGGGTCACTTGATTCTACCCACATCTTTATTACCTTTTCTTTTTGCACCTTTCTTGGTTATCTGCAGTGTAGAAGCATAACTTCTTAACTTTTGAAGGATCTTCCTCTCGCTTATACGTAGCATCAATGAATGATACAGTTTAGGTTCGGTCAACTGAGAGCTCCTATTCAGATTATCAATGTCAATTCTGAGAGACTTAGTACCATATAAACTCTCTCGGGCATCTGCTAGTGACAAAAGAGCCATGTGAATGCGTTCTCTGAGCAATGAATTCCTCCCAAATTCTAATCCATTTTCAAATGCAACTCCATTGTTTGATAAAAATAGTTGCCAGGATTTCCTGACATCACCACCCATGACCGATATAGCAAGATCGGCTTCTCCATATTCTTCATCTGACATCGACATTATGTAAATCAAAATTATTAACTCAATTTGTGGTTCACCGTGGAATGTGATTTCAAAATATTCAGCGTCTTGACTGACACATCCAGAACAAGTCAGCTTTCTCCACAGTGAAACCCTCCTCCTAGTGTGGCGATATGAGAACTGAGAAGAGCTCCACTGAAGCACCAATTCAAAGTCTATGTTTAAAATATCATAGGGATTGTCTGGCTCAGTGAATCCATACCTATGCAGCAATGCAGCACTACCTAAGGATCCATATGTATTGAATACCTAAAATAAAGTAATATTAGGAAGATGCTAAAAGTTATACATCAAAATTATACAATATTAGAGGACAATATCAAATCTATCCGATATAATTGTTAATTTGCATTAAATCATTTTTTTGGGTGACAGCGGCTATTTATTTCACTTTAAACTTTCACTTTATACTGCAATTCCTGTATCTATTGAGGATCAGTGTGTGACTAATGTCACCTATGAAAAAAATCTACAAAAAAAGCATAATTCAACTAGATGTAGCACAACAACTCATCACAAACCTCTTCTCCAGCTTTCACATTTTTCACCATGATCATTTCTAGAGCTGAAGGATCATCCCCTTGTATTGAAGAGGAATCTAAGTCACTCTCACCCAAAGAATCTACCTCTGAATATAGATTCTGGTTAGCTGGTTCGTGGTTGCTATTATGTTGGTACTCAATGTTACTATTCTTACCATTCACATCACCATCTGAATCAGAGTAGGAGGATATGGATGTGAAGTGCACATCCTCATCACCAGTCTTGTGATTAAAACTGCAGAATAAAGCTTTTGATCAAGGGCAGAAGACACCAGACATTGCAATGAGCACAGGTCTAATTTCTTTTAATAGCACCTAGAGTATAAAATTATGGATTTGAAAAACGGAATTTTATACTTATTAAATAAGAACAGTGGGGATACGGACCAAATGGGCCCTCATCACACATGAATATTTTGACTTCTGAACTCAATTAGACACCAGAATGACGGAAAATATGAAGGGAGGTGAGTTTTGCGGATTAGATTACATTTTCAAACACTGAATTATTGAATAATTGCTTACCAAATACATAGATACAAAGTTGTACCAAGAAATCAATAAAGCAAATTCGAAAAATAATATAGTTATAAGTATTATCAATCATACACTCTATATTTTATACTCTTCTAGCCAATACTTCAGTGGTGCATCGTATCAGATAAAAAGCAGTTTCAGAATAATGAACTAATGAAGTGCTTTTGATTCACATGCAAAATGGTAGAATTGAATCATGAAAAGGCTGCTGAAACATAGAAAGGTCAAGAAATTGAACGGACCCGGTACAAAGAAAGGGAATGATTTATGGTTTTGCAGGTAGTAGTAGGAAAAAGTACAATTCAACCAACAAATGAAGTAAACATGAGACATAATAATTCACTATATAGAATGGTTTGTACCAAAAACTAATGGAATTGAACTCGTCTGTAAATTATAATGCTTTTCCCATTCCAATTGTGTACCACACATTCAGATTGGTTGGAAACTTGGAATCATGTTAACTTTTGTATTATATTAATTAATCAATACACAATGACCTATCAGGATATGTGGTATCAAAGATTTGAACTCAAATTAATGAGACATCATAAGAATATAAAAAGTAATCCCTTTGTCACTAAAAAAGTTATGTTACAAACAATTTTTTCACCTAAAGAAGAAATCACGTTTGATCAACCCCATCTAGTTTTTCATGTACCTTGCCAAAAAATGTTGCACACTTACATCTAGTTTAGTGAAACTAACAAATAACGAAATCTATAATCAAGTAGGGTAAATTTGCATTTGAGAACTATTTTAGTTTTAGCAAGACAGATAACAAAATGATTCAAGAATTTATCCAGCATATTAGGAGATAAATCCCATTTGAATTTAAAAAATACTTCCTCCGTCCCTTAAAACATTGCCAACTTTCCTTTCTTGGACGTCCCACTAACTTTGCTAACTTTGCCACTTTCCCTTTTAAGTAAAGAATTTGTGGTTCCAGTTAATTCTCTCTCTCCTCTGCACAATCCTCAACCACACAGTTTTTACTTTATTAATCCTCATGCCGGCCAAACTTGGCAAAGTTTTAAGGGACGGAGGGAGTATGAAGAACAGAATGGATGTTACAAGAATATGCATGTAGAAGATAAGTATCCTATACGGAGTCAGTCAAGAAACATCAGTAAACAATGAAACTTACAGGTCTGCAAGGGGAACCATCCCAAATCCATGGTAATCATCAATTTGAAATGACCGAGAAGCAATAAGACTTTTTGCAGCAAAATATTCTTCAATACCAAAATGTTCTGGGTTAAGTCCCAAGGTAGAATTGGCCAAAAGAGGTTGGATGCACTCTTTCCAGTCCTCGTGGATTAGAATCTTGTCTTCTATAATAATCTGCCTTCAAGAATACCAGCACGGTCACATTCAGAAAACTGACACAAATAGAGCCTTGAGAAAATGACCAAACAGTTGTGGAACTTAAGGGCCTGAGTAAGAGTTTAGCATGCACCTTACAAGTCTTAAACTAAACACACTTGCTCTCCCTATGATGACTAAAACACTATCACGATGTTCCACTATTGAAACTAGTGTATCATCAGGCAAACTGCATATTCCATGAGTAATGCGAGTTTTCTGTAGCGTACTTAGGCTACAGGTTATACTTGGGCTAGTTTCTTGTAGATTTCATTGTGAGCTTTCAATCATTCAACATTCAAAAATTCATTAGTCATGTAGACACCTTAAATCTTTTTTTCAATTAAGAAATTTTCAATTACTAGAAGTCTAGGAGCTTACAATTACTAAAAAGTTTAAGAAAATATATTTTCAACTAACCATTTGAAACTTACACTAAGTAGCAAGGTAAAATAATGCCAATCAAGTTTATCATGAATGCACATACAAGAAAAAAGAAATTTTACAAAGAGAAATTGGAAAGAATACCTTGTGGAGCTCTGTGCCAGCAAGAAGAGAGTTAATATCAGAGAGAGGCCAAAGCAAAGGGATAGGCTCCGAATGGGGGAGAAGCTGAAGATAACCATACCAGGGGGAGAGGGGACCGAGACTCCGCTCATACATGAGAGCTACGGCCAGGCCTAAGTAGCCGTCAAGCTCAGCTTCCTCAATCATTTGCCGAGCACCACACGTTTTAATCGTCAAGCAGCTCTCCTTGGGGATTTTCGCCACCACATCGCCGTCGTGCAAATCGGAGACAGCTCTGACAAAGAAGGAGGATCCCGCTTCGACGAGCTCCAAGGCGTCGCTGCACTCTACGCGTTCCCAGTTCATCCATTTTTTGAAAGTTCTTAGTTTCCTGATACCATACGTTGACAACTGAATCAATATTCTCTACCAAGCCTAATCGATGAAAGCTTATACGATATGAAAAACAAAGAAAAAGAAGTGCGCGAGAGGAAATGCAATGGATACCTAGTGCTCATTCCCGCGGCGACGAAGCCGCTTTGCAGCTACTCCTGCTAGACCTTTGGCCGTTTACTCCCTGTTTCGGAGCGGGAGACTGCGCGGACGGCTCCGGGTCGGACTCTTTCCCAAAATTTACTTCGATATTAAATTTACTTGTTAGTGGACAATGGCTTAAGTTAGCTTGTTGTCAAATAAATTCGTGTGTTGCTAAAAGATGTTTTGTAGTTAACTGTTTGGTCACAAAATTAGTAGAAAATGTCATTTTTAAAAACGCAAAACCAAAACCTCTTCTATTAGTAGCGTTTTCATTTTGGCGTTTCCGTCCAAAAACGTTAGTGCCGAACTGCTATTTACCAAACAATTTTTTCACTTATTAAAACACTAAAAGTGGTCAAATTGCCATTTTTGGGCTGAAACGCCGTTTAACAAACATTTCCAAAGTATTCCAAACTTGCATATGTAATATATACCCTAAACTTTTTCTAAAATGTCATTCCACATCATGATTGTTTCTTTTTAATAAATATAAATTTATCAGAATCATTACATAATTTAAAATATTCGAAGCATTGTTATAATGCAATTAACATTCTAAAATTTCATTTGTGAAATAAATAAATTTACATCCGGTACAATTAATTTTTAATTCGATCATCATAATTTTTTTTGTATTTTATATTATTCATTCAACACCATAGAATTACATTTGTGAAAAAAATACTATCGTACTATGTATATGATTATGGTGCTAACAAAACTTTTTATATAAATGTTGAGGTATATATATATTGAATGTGCAAGTTTGGATGCTTATCTCGCGCTCCTTCAAATTTTGGATATTTAAATTATGTTTTCATAAAGAAAAATAATAATTACAGTTTTTAAAAATATTTATAATATATATGAAAATTCTTATAATTGATTTATCATCAAAATATGAATCATTCACTATTATTTCAAAAAGTTTTTATTATAGTATTTCTTTAATATGATAGAATAAGTCTTGTTTTAAAAAGAAAATATATATAGTCCTCATTTAAAATTTTGCCCATGACTTAATAATTATTTATCTCAAGAGCGAATGAGAAAGGATATATAGAATCAAAAGACCAAAGTGGGATATCTTGATAAAGATTTCAATAAAGAGCTCATTTGATAGTTTACATGTTCTTTGCATGCGAAGTGATTGCATGTAAACTTAGGAAAATAATCACTTTACATGTAAAATAGATTACATTATTTGGCTACATGTTTAATTTATTTTAATTTACACTCAAAGGTGCTGCAGTGCGTTGTAAAAAGCATGCAAAATATTTTACCACACTCCCACCACGTAAAATATTTTACATGGTACGGTGGGAAATGTTTTAAAAAAGTTTCCCACAGTTTACATTAAATAATTGAGCCAAACAATGTAATTCTTTTACGTCTCCATACTTCACATACATAGTGATTATTTTACATACTACCGAATGCTTCTAACATTGTTACACATTTATCTAAAACAACAAATTCTTGCAACGGTGTACCTCAAAGTAGAAAGAGGCTAAGCAATGGGAACGGGGAGCGGCACCCGCCCGCTAGGAATGATGGGCGGACGATTACGAAGATATACTAGGGTGTCCCTCGAATATCAATGTTCTAAAAGGTTGAATCCCCAACCCCAATGACCCCCACACTCCAACCAGACAAGACATTTGGGAGGTTTTAAATCACAGTGACTCTGTCAACTAAATGGCAGTGGATCTTTTACCCATGCGCACCAGAAGTTCAATCCATCACATAGGAGCTGTAACATCCACATGGTCGCTGCAGCCTGTAGGTTTCGATTCTTAGTCAATGTTCCAACTTTCTCACCACTCGATCAACTGAGCTACCCGAGCAGTTGTCCCTAGAATATCAAATATTTTGAGATACTCAACTTCCACTAAAAAATGGGATTCATATACAGTCAACCAGATTCTCAAGACTCATCCCCCAATGGAGAAGGCTTGGCTATTTTTCAATTGGGTCACCAAGCATATAGGGTTTAAACATGACTAGTATACCTACACGACCATGCTGGATATATTTGAGAAGTTGGGAGGGTTTCATCAATGATGTATGTTTTCGGCCAAATGAAAGAAAATTGTGTCAAGATTGATGTGGTTACCTATGCATCTATTCTCCATTGGCTCTCCAACATTGGGGATGTTGAAGGGGCTAAGAAGTTTTAGAGGGAGATGAGAGCTAAGAGCTGCTATCCTACTGTCATCTCCTATACAGTTTACATGATAATTTTGTGTGACCATAAGCGTGTCAGGGAGGGTGCTAAGGTGTACAAAGAGATGCTTCAGTCCGGTTGTTCTCTCAATTACCACACAAACACAACCCCTGTGGAGCATTTAGCTGTCACAGGCCGGAAAGTTTGGTAATGTTGTGGAGATGTTTGGTAATCTTCAATAAAATGCAAGACACAGGGGTACAACCAGACAAGGCTACATGCAATATTTTGATTGAGAAGTGCAGCAAAGCAAGGGAAACAAGGAACATGATGAAAATTGTTGAGTACATGAAAACAAGGAACATGATGAAAATTGTTGAGTACATGAAAAATAACTTTCTTGAACCATCGAATATTTCAGGCATGAGCGATGTGCTTCTTCTTAAGCAAGTTAACCGTCATTTTTCATCATATCTTTGCCATCAGGAGGTGCATCCATATGAATCTAATTCCACTATGATGGATGTTAGATTCAAGTTTGAAGAAAAAATTGTCATGTATTTGTTGAACAAGCTAAGCATAACCTGATAGACACTGATCACTTGATAACTGATATGCTGGGGAAATGCTTTGGATTGGATTCTCAAAGCATCTCGAGTATTATTGTGTCAAATAGTAACTGTGGAAGACATGGGCGAAACAAGAAAAATGTGCGAGGAGAGTCAGAATTTAATTATATACAATATCGAAATGATGGATAATTATTATACAATACTTAAGTTTATAAATGTTTCATATGTAGCTAAGATAAATGATAGTTCAATGAGCACTTTTCGGTTAATGTATCATAATAAGGTGTTTCATTTTAAAATTTAAGAATATAATCAACGTTACACTTCAAATTTTGCTTGAAATGAGTTATCTTAACTTTTTCCAAAAGTCATAACTTTTTATAACTTTTTACTCGTAAGAATATAATCAACGTTAATCAACGTTACACTTTTCATAACTTTTTACTCGTAATGAGTTACATGACCCATAATATATCAAATCGAAAGTATTTCAGAGCTCTACATTCATGAACTTTCAGCGGGGTCAGCTGACCACCTTGACCCCTGCCTCCGCCCCTAGTGGGAGACAAGATGGAGCTTTATTAGCATTTGATTTCTGCAAAAAACTTGGCATAGACATTGAAAAAACCACACATCTAACTTTAATCAGTGTACTTATCAGAACTGTAATTGTCATAACAATTTACTTTATATGCTCAATAAGGCAAGAGGAAAAACTTGACAACACCAATAGAGAGAACTAAGAAGCAATCAGATGGCTTGTACAGAGAAATGAGATAAAAAGAAGAGATATTACCCAAAATAGGACTAAAAAGTTTGGAAATTCCAAAATAGGACTTCCATGTTTTTATTCTCAAAATAAGACTAATTACTGTCATGTTTTGGCAGTACCAGACTTCAAACATGGCAGTATTTTCCAAATTTGGCAGTAATTAGTCGTATTTTGGAAATAAAAACATGACAGTCCTATTTTGGAATTTTCAAACTTTTTTAGTCCCATTTCGGGAACTTTCCCTAAAAAGAATGAATGAAATTATACCCATGAATTATAATGGAACCAACAAAAATTACACCTATCAAAATTGCGAGAAAATCAATTGCGAAATAACCTAAGGAAGAATACATCCTAGACGTCACTAACCATTAAGAAAAATCATTGTCGTCACCTTTTATTATTATAACAAATATAGATATATAAAATTTATTACGGCATGTTTACCTATAGCTTAGTTGAAAATGTAGCATATTCATTCACTTAAAACTGAATATTTTTGTTCAACAGCGTATCTTATTCTCCATTAACTACAATCTAAGTTTTTCTTTCCATTTGTTTTATAGAAAACTAGTATGGACAAATGTGTATTAGAAAATAGGCCTACTCAATTGACAACGGAACTTAATATAAATTTAAATTAATTATTTTACTCGGACTGCTTATTGCCTTATTGAGCATATAAATTAAATTGTTCTAAAAAAATGTTGAATATAGAAAAACTGTCAAATACGTCACCATAAGATTAAATAAGTCTTATTTTGGAATTGTTTAGTCCTATTTCAAAACTTTGTACATATATTGCCCATATTTTGAACAATTGTTTTTAGGGAATGTTTAGATATTTCATGAAAACTTTGTACATATTTCAAAACTTCTTAAAACTGTTTCTGTTCATTTAAAGAGTAGAAGTAAATACGGATTCTTAAAACTGTTTCTGATCATTTAAAGAGTAGAAGTAAATACGGAGTATTAGAGTGTAAGTGAAAGTGCAGAAATAATTCTATTTGCTCTAAATTACTCCTAAAAACAGTTTTTTAGAAGAGGAAGGAGTCCAGCTTCTTAAGAACTAATTTTACTTCAGTTTTTAAAAATGGAGCAAAAGAAAAATTAATTTCAAACACTCCTATATTATAGATTTGACAAGTTCAGGTATGTTATTGTATACCCCTCCATAGTTATATAATTGCAATATCATACTTTTCATGGAGTTCAGGTGAAATAGTAGCAGTAAATAGTGTACAAAGTTGGAAAGAACAATGAACAGGTGCGAAAATAATATGAAAAATTAGTGAAAATAGTGCTATTTAAATGTTTTTAAATGAAAAAAACATGAAAATAAAAAAAACATGTTAATTGAAAATGTAGCATATTCAATTTGGTATGAAAACGGAACATCTTGCCACTATATAAATACAGAGGGAGTATAATACTATAATGTATTATTATCAATTTGGTACAATTTAATGTTATGTCTAACAGTAACAGGAGAATTTCTTGTCCTACAGAATGTAAGAAAAACAGCAACAAGATGCTACTAATATAGTACTATCTCCGTCCCATTAGAAGGTTCTCGTTCACTGTTCAC